TAATTGATGTTTCTATGTCTTTTTCCCTCTCCCTTCCTCTCTCTCTAAAATAAATAAAAACTTTTTTTTAAAAAAAGCATAGTGAGATTCATTTCATACCCACCAGGGTGGCTATAAAAAAAGAGGTAACAACAAATTTTGGAAGGAAGCAATCACCAGTGTATCTTTTTTTATTTACTTTTTATTTTTTTAACGAACAAGGAACTCTTTACCTGGAGCCTCCTCCCCACCCCCAATGACTACTTCTGATCTCATTGGCCAGTTTGAGGCAAGTGACCATTTCTGACTCAGTCACTGGCACAAGCAATGGGATTTTCATGATTGGGTTAGCCCAGCGGTTCTCAACCTGTGAGTCGCGACCCCTTTGGGGGTCGAACGACCCTTTCACAGGGGTTGCCTAAGACCATCAGAAAACACATATGTAATTACATATTGTTTCTGTGATTAATCACTATGCTTTAATTATGTTCAATTTATAACAATGAAAATACATCCTGCATATCAGATACTTACATGACGATTCATAACAGTAGCAAAATTACAGTTATGAAGTAGCAACGAAAATAATTTTATGGTTGGGGGTCACCACAACATGAGGAACTGTATTAAAGGGTCGCGGCATGAGGAAGGTTGAGAACCACTGAGTTAGACAAATGATTTGGAGTGCAGTGGAGGTTAGGTAGGCATCACCACTGCAGACTTCTGAAGGAATTTCTAGTTCCTATTAGAGTAGAGAAGAGATGATGATCAGGCAGAAACCACAGGTGTCGACTGTGCCGTCAGCAACGGCGGGAGTGTGGTGAGAAAGCATTCACTTGGATCCCGCGGACGCTGCTGCCATCTTACTGGGTGATTCCAGAGGTTACTTCACTCACTCTTTGGCCCTCAGTTTCTTCAAATGAAATGGTTCCTTCGAGCTTTGAAATATGTGATTATATATATTGCCGTGTAGTAAAGGAAAATGGCTCACATGCTTTTCTGTGACTCAGATAAGAACTTAGAAACCATGTTTGTACTTACCATTCAAATCTTATTTATGTACTTTAAGACTCCTGTACCATCAGAAATATAGATGATTCAGTGCCAATGGCTGTCTAAATCATGCAGGTTAGTCTGTGTTTCTGTTTACCCTGATTTTACTTTGGGGAACTGTAGTGGTCATGATATTTGCCTTTCAACATCCATTCTAAGGCCCCTTCTCAGTCCAAGTAGTTTGTTTTGTTTTTGTTAATCCTCACCTGAGGGTATTTTTCCATTGATTTTTAGAGAGAGTGGAAGAGAGAGGGAAAGACAGAAAGAAATATCGATGTGAGAGAAGCACATTGATTGGTTGCCTCCTGCGTGAGCCCTGACCAGGGCCTGGGTCGGGGAGGAGCCTGCAACCCAAGTACATGCCCTTGACTAGAATCGAACCTGGGACCCTTTGGTCCGCAGGCCTTCGCTCTATCCACTGAGCCAAACCAGCTAGGGCAGTCCAAGTAGTTTGGATACGGTTGACTCCACCCTCCCAACTTGAGGAATGGCCGCTTGACCGAGGCTCGGCCACTCAGTCTATTCCATCCCTCTGGCCACAGGGATGGTTCAAGGATGGACAAGGGACCCCCGCTGGCCCAGTGAGAGTCAGCTCGTGGTTTTTGCTGGGAAAGAGGAGCTCTTTTTCCTCGGGTTGCCCGTCTGGAAAGGTTGTGAACCTGGAGTTCTGGTGGTCATCTTTGACACAGTGGAGAGAACTTGCCCAAGAATGAAACATGTAAAGACGAAATAGAATCTTGGTGATCTTGATAGCATCATGTGAGCATCTGGATCCAGTCTGTGGACTTATCCGGTATGTAAGCCACTAAATTCCTTTTATTTTGCCTCCACTGGTTTAACTGTTTCTGTAACTTGCAACCCAGAAATATCTGACTAATAAAGACAAATTTCTTGCTTATAGCTTGGATTAAATGCTCCGATGCTGTATAAATATGCGAGTAAAATCTGGATATAGATAAAAAGATATGGGTTCAGAAACAGCCACATACAAAGTGAAAAAAGTTACAGTTATTTTACTCAAGAGCTACTGCATCCCCTTTCCTTTCCCCGATTGGTTTACCATAAGGAAGGAAACAGGACACCGTATGTGTATTTGAAAACACCTACAGACTCAGTGTCTATTTATTTTGTGTCGAAGCTTCAGTTGAGTGTGAAAAAGAGACAGGGATGTTGTCTCCATCTTGGTGACATGGTGCTGAGGGAGTTCGGACCCAGGTTTTGTTCAGACCGTCTAACTGTGTCACCGGGTCTTGGTTTCATCACCCATAAAACGAGGGAGCTGGGTTAAGATCCCTTCTAGTACTGATGTCCCGTAGGGAGGCTGCAGGAGGGAGCAGTATCGTTTGGAGAGACCTCGCTGGGGCTGACAAGACTTTGGGATAGTCCTGACTGGTTTGGCTCAGTGGATAGAGCGTCAGCCTGCGGACTGAAGGGTCCCGGGTTCGATTCCGGTCAAGGGCATGTACCTTGGTTGCAGGCACATCCCCAATAGGGGGTGTGCAGGAGGCAGCTGATCGATGTTTCTAACTCTCTATCCCTCTCCCTTCCTCTCTGTAAAAAATCAATAAAATATATTTTTTCAAAAAAGACTTTGGGATAAAATTCTCCCTGCGGTCATGTGTGGTGAGCTTGGTTTGTCAACCCCAAAATGGAAGTTGATCAGTGGGGAGTCTAGTGTTTTGAAAATGCATCAGGTGGAAATAAATCAAGCTGAGGCCTTCTTTGCTGAATGCCCTTTGCTTTACATGCTGTCAATTCTGCTTTTCAGATCACTCAGACCGGGCCTCTGAGACTACCCAGGGGGCTGTTCGTCTCACCGTGGCTCTGAGAGCTGGGAAAGCCTGGGGTGGACCTGGCTTCATGCACAACTAGATCTCGGAGCTCAACACGGTCATCAACTCAGTCTCCGTCTCTCCCTCCCCATTCCTCACTCCCACTTGGTTTTCGTTGACTTCGTTCTCAGGAAGGTTTTCCCCACATAGTGACAGAAATGGCTCCCGAAAGAAAACACACATTGATTGGCCCTGCTTTCCACCTGGACCAGCTGTGCTGGGCAGGCACAGGTCCTAGGCCAGTGATGGCGAACCTTTTGAGCTCGGCGTCTCAGCATTTTGAAAAACCCTAACTTAACTCTGGTGCCGTGTCACACATAGAAATTTTTTGATATTTGCAACCATAGTAAAACAAAGACTTATATTTTTGATATTTATTTTATATATTTAAATGCCATTTAACAAAGAAAAACCAACAAAAAAAATGAAAATGAGTTCGCGTGTCACCTCTGACACGCGTGTCAGAGGTTCGCCATCACTGTCCTAGACCCACCAATGCCGTTCATGGAGTTTGGATTTTATTCTGAGGAATAAAGGAGGAATCTTGAAATGGGGTTGACATGGTCAGATCTGTGCATTTAGGGAGGAGTCTGGCTGAGGGACAGGGATTGGGACAATGGAGGAGACGAGTTGGGGAGACTGGTTAGCAGGGTGTGGGATCATTCTGGGCAGAAGTAGGAGGAGCTGGACTAGGGTAAGGCTGTGGGGACAGAGGATGCAGTAGCCAGGAAAGAAAATGGCGAAGGCAGAGCATATAAGAGTTGGTGGTTGCTTAGCCGTGTTGGTGGAAAGGAAGAAGTATTTATGTTTATTGAACACCAAGTGCTGGCCCTGTGCTGGGGAAATTAAACTCAGTCTGTGGAGGAGCTGGACTGTGAACAATTACTCTCCAGTGCGCTGATTACCGGATAGAGGGATGCAGCAGGGGCCACTAGCACCCGGGAGAAAAGAAACCATTTCAGGACTGGCTGTGGGGGAGGGGGTGGCAGGGGAGACTTCACAGACAAGGAAATTTTGACCTGGATCTTAAAGGATAAGTAGGGGGTGCAAGAGGGTGGTAGCAAAAAGGGGGTAAGAAATTTTGAGCCTGTGCTGAGGGCAGACAACAGAGTCCAAAAAAATTGTTGACCAGAAAAACGACATCCAAACCAAAGACATATTTAGTTTTGCTCATATCACATTTTTAGAAACTTTTAAATTAGTTGCAACATTGAAAGATCTGGAACTTTCATATAAAAATCCATATTTGTAACATCTTGGAAAACCAGGTTTAGCTACACAAGGCCCACATTCCCGCATGACCACCCAATGCAGTTCCTGTTATAATTCATCTGCCCACATCAACTACTCATGTACCTGCCTCGTCCTGTGAGATAATGAGAGATAATGGAGTGGTTGTCCATCTAAGTCACTGTTTCAGAGCGGCTTACTCCACAACAGGTGGCCGGAACACCCACCTCTCCCCTTCCCCTGTACACATCCGAGGGCTCAGCCTCTGAACCAGAGGAGTGAGGGCGCATGGTGAGCTGGGTAAGGAGCAGCAAGGCCAGACTGGTGGATGGGGGAAGACCATCAGGGGCTTTGCAGACCGTGCCTCGGGAGTTTCAACTTCCTCCTACAGGAGCTGGTCGGGTTTTGTAAGGTCGCCCTATTAAGACCAGAAGGCGACTCTAGAGACGCCATAAAAGATGAACGAGAGGAAGGTCAGGGAGCCAGTGGTCCAAGCAACACAGCTCAGGCAGTGGTGGTGGGCATGGAGAGGAAGGGAGAGATTCAAGGTCAAGACTTCCTTCTCTGTGAGGCCCTCCCGAGGTGCTAAAGGGACATGCAGGTCGAGCCATATAGTTGGCAGTCAGAACTAGGGAGGAATGGGAGCAGATCTGGGCCACAGTTCAGAGGAGGGTTCGTCAAAGTGTATAGTGAAAGCTGGGATGCGGGTGGGACGGTGTGGGGAGTCTGGGGGGAGTCCTGGGGAGCTCCCTGCACAAAGCGTGTGAAGCAGAGAGAGGACACTCAGCAGGGAATCGAGAGCGAGCGAGCTGCAGAGCAAAGAAGAGAAACAGGGGCCCAGATGCCAAAGAAAATGGTTCCGGAGGGAGAGTAGGCAGTAGCATCAGATAATCACCAAAATGTGCTCTTCCGGTTACTGTTCAGGAGGTGATGGGTGGCCTGGCGGGGGCAAGTCTGCGTGGAGAGGAAGGAGCGAAGCCATGTAGGTGGAAGAGTAAGTAGGAAACGAGGAAGTGGAGGGCGTGTACACAGCTCTTTCAAGAAACGATTGTGAACGGAAAGAGTGCGAGAGGGAAGTGGTTTGAGGTTGCCACACTGAGAGAGGTTCTCCCAAAACACAGGGGACTGAAGCTTGCTTTTATTTTATTTTATTTTATTTTTTTATTAAGGTATTACATATGTGTCCTTATCCCACCATCACCCCCCTGACCTCCCCAACTCATGCCCTCAGCCCCCTTTGTCTGTGTCCATTAGTTAGGCTTGAAGCTTGCTTTTATATACAGAAGAGAGAGGGCCTGTGGCGAGGAGAAGCTGGCAGTACAGGTAAAGGGCGCGTGACGGAGCGCGCTCACTGAGGAAGTGGGAAGGGATGTGTCCGAGGAGGAGGACAGGGCGATGGCCGGAGGAGAACACCTCCTCTGTGATGAAAGTGAATGGCTGTTTAGAGGAGATGCTATTGCTGGTGGGAGAAGAGGGGTTGAAAGCGTTCTCATCTCTTTTCTCCATAAAATAGAAGCCGTGATCATCTCATAAAAGTGAGGAAGGCGGCCCGAGGTAGATGGCTAGTGAGCAGTGGCTCATATGATTGACTTAGGCCTGAGCCTGGGGACATGGCGTCCCCTGTGCCTCCTGCTTAAGGCTGGGATTGCTTCCTGAGTGTGGGTCAGGGCGAGCCCGCAGTTGGACGGAAGATCATAGCTGAGAGAAGGCCTGTAACCTCTTGCACTGAGACCCTAACACCTCTTTACTTAGAGCAGTGGTTCTCAACCTTCTGGCCCTTTAAATACAGTTCCTCATGTTGTGACCCAACCATAAAATTATTTTCGTTGCTACTTCATAACTGTAATGTTGCCACTGTTATGAATCGTCATGTAAATATCTGATATGCAGGATGGTCTTAGGCAACCCTTGTGAAAGGGTCCTTCGCCTGCCAAAGGGGTCGCGACCCACAGGTTGAGAACCGCTGACTTAGAGACTTGTGTGGGCTGCTCCTTACCTATGGGAGCAAACTCCTTAAGAAGACACAGGTTGCCGAGCCGTTTGCTCAGTGGTTAGAGTGTTGCCCTGAGGACTGAAGGGTCTCAGGTATGATTCTGGTCACTTACCTCAGATGCAGGCTCAATCCACCTGCATGAGGCAGCCAATCAATGTTTCTCTCTCTGTCTCTCCCCCTCCCTTCCCCTCTCTCTATAAAAAAAAAGAAAAAAAAGAAAGAAAAAAGGAAGACACAGGCTGAGGCCTCTCATGACCTGCCTCTTGCTGGTCTTCCAGCTCGATCACTTCCTCCTTCATGCCAAGCACTTGAGGCTCCAGTCGTGGTCTTTATCTGAATTGCTTTTCTCCCTTTCCCCTCCCTTCTCTGCTCAGCAAACTCCTATTCAAGACGCGGTTTACGCGTAACATCATCCATCCAGTCCACTAACATCCATGGACTGTCTACGAGGCTTCAGCCCGGTTCGCCCTCCTGACTGCGCTGCTCTCCGCCTTTGTGCACACCGCGGCTTCGAGAGGTCACCCGGACCCCTGCATGGACTCAGGGGTTTCAGAGGCAGGCAGACTTGTATTTGAACCTGGGGCAGGTTGTTTTTCTCCTCTGAGCCTCGATGTTGCTGTCTGTGAAAAGGGACGATAAAATGCCTCGTAGGGCATTTTAGATTCTTTAGTGATGGAATGTTAGTGCAGCACCGAGGGGCTAGGACTCTTGGTTGTAAGTGACAATCTTAATTTTAAAAATCTCCTTTTAGCCCTAACCGGTTTGGCTCAGTGGATAGAGCGTCAGCCTGCGGAGTGAAGGGTCCAAGGTTTGATTCCGGTCAAGGGCATGTACCTTGGTTGCGGGCACATCCCCAGTAGGGAGTGTGCAGGAGGCAGCTGATCGATGTTTCTCTCTCATCAATGTTCTAACTCTCTATCCCTGTCCCTTCCTCTCTGTAAAAAATCAATAAAATATATATATTTTTTAAAAATCTCCTTTTACAGTTGATTTGTTTAAATAAGAATCCAAAGGAGGTTTATACATCACAGTTGGTTGATATATTTGTTAAACTCTTTTAATATTTCCCCCCTTTACTCTTAATGGCATTTATTTGTTGAGGCTAGGTCATTTGTCCTATAACATTTCCTACATTCTAGATTTAGCTAATTGCTTCCTTGTGGTATTATTTAACCTGTCCTTCTATCTTCCTTATTCACTATAAACTAGTAGTTAGATCTAGAGGCTTGGTTACATTCAAGATGATGCTTATGATAGTGATTTTGGTAATAACACTAAAAGGTACTATTGCATACTTATTGCATCATTTTATCAGAGGCACATAATGTCAGGTTGTCCTACTTTTGGTGATGTTAAGATTGACCACTGGATTCTTTTTTTAGGCAATCATGGACATTTGCACATAACTTGGGTATTAGATGATGTGAAGAAATCATCACTAATTTTTTAAGGTATATTTGTCTATTACATAATGGTATTGTGCTTAGGTAAAATAAAAATTCTTATCGGACATGCAGTAACATGGATGAATCTCATAACATTATACTAGTGAAAAAAGCCAGTCAGTGGCGGTGACAGGATTTGAATCCATCCCCTGACATTCATGTTCTGGGAACTCTGCTCAGGCTGCCCCTCCGCCTGCAAGACCTTCTGTCGTCAGGCCTGTTGGCTCTTTCTCGTCCTTGCAGCTCCTGGTCCAATACCCTGTACACAGCAATAGTGATAAGAGGAACATTTAGTAAGCACTTTCCCACTCCACATGGGACGCATAAGGCTTCCTGTCCCCGTGATCTCATGAGGTAGGTATTACTCTGTTATGGAGGCTCAGAGAGGTTAAGCAACCTGCCCAAGGTCACTCAGCAGGTGTGACAGTGGGAGTCAAACTCAGGGAGCCTCTGATGCGGGAGCAGGCCTTCCTTGCTCTCTGGATGGGACACAGGCCCCCTTCCTCTGAGTCTGAAGTCCAGGCTTCTGCCCGCCTGGCTCCCTTGGGGCTAGTTGCTCCTCTCCTTCCAGTAGCCTGAGCGCCCCCTGGGGCAGGAGCCGCTCCTTCATCGGTTAGCCCTGCACAAGGAGGGGCTCCGTGTGCCAAATTATTTCATTTGCCCCCCGGCAGGCAGAGCAGAGAGCTCCTCCACGAAGACATGAGACCCGAGGTTCAGGGGCTCCTGCAGGGCCACCCATTTGCAAGCGTAGGAACCTGGACAAGCCGGGCCGCCGGCGCAGGTGGGCGCAGGCCCCCCCTCCTCGGCCGGGCTCCGCTGGTCCCCGCGGCGGGGAGAGGCAGCGGTGTGGCTGGTGGGCGTGGGGCCCGCACAAAGGGCAGGCGGCGCGGCGGCCGGGAGAAGGCTGAAGGCGGGGAAGGAGCAGAGTGTCGTGCATTTTGACATTAAAAAGTGCGGGTGAGATTGTCAGACTGGGCAGCAGCATCAGCTCCGGCAGGGAACGGGCGGCGCAGGGCGCGGAGCTGCGCGGGCGGGCGGGGCGGCGCTCCGCGGAGGGACGGGCTCTGTCCGGCCGGAGCTCCGCCCAAAGGGGCGCTGCCACCCTAAGGAGGCGGGCGGCCCGGCTTCTCATTCATTGTCTTGACAAGAGCATCCTCAGCGGGCGTCTCCGGCTCCCCCGGCGCTTCCTCCTCCCTCTCGCCCGCCTCCACCGGGGAGGCCTCCGCAGCAGGTAAGCCTGCGGGCCCGTCCCGGGGAGGGACTGGGCAGCGCGGTCCCGGGCCACCTGTGGGGCGGCGGGCGCCTGGCACCGCCGCTGTGGGGGCGGACGGACCGTGGGCGCTGGCGCTGAGATGGGGACCGAGCCCTGCGGGAGGGACTCGCCTGCGGGCGTGGGTGCGCGTGGGAGGGTCCATCTGTGGGCCCCGGAGCTCCGAGGGGAGGCGAGGGCGAGGGGCCACGGCGGCCGAGATGGACGTGGGGGGTCAGGACACGTGGGGGGCCCCGGCTCTCCCCAGAATGGGAGACTGTGGGTGGGGTGGGGGCAGGGTGGGGTGAACGAGCAGCTGCTCTGAGCTGGGAGACAGGAAGGGGTTGCGAGCAAAACAAGAAAAGACTAAGTTCCCCTTTCCGCGGTTTCTGGGCCTGGTACCTGCGGTGGGGGAGGAGGCAGGGTGGGGCGATGGCTTCCTGTCCTCCAACCTCCGGTTTGGGGGTTCCTGCTCCCCAAACCCAGGCTTCTCACCTGGACTGACCCCTGCCCCAGCCTGCTTCTCACACCCTCAGACACGCTGCTCACTACAGCCTCCGGGAGGCACGGGGTGGGCGAGGGCGCTGGAGCCGCAGAGAAGGACCAGGCCCCGGAGCGGGGCACCTGGTGAAGCTGGGGAGCAGCTAGAGGCCCTCCCAGCAGGCAGCACGGCCCCCGTCCTCCCCAGGAACCCCCATCCTGGTACCTGGGGAGCCAGAGGCGGTCCCCTCCGCTTCACTTGCTCTCTGCCCAGCCAGCGGGGGAAACCATCCCAGCTGGACCTCAGAGAAGTCGGCCGCCTCTCCCTTCTTGTGTGGAGTTCCAGTGTGCGTGTGTGTGTGTGTGTGCGCGCGTGTGCGTGCGTGTGTGTGTGTGTGTGTGTGTTTGGAGGGGTGCGGGGGAGATGGCACTCGGGGCACCTGCTGAAGTGGAGGCGAGAGGCAGAGGAGTGGGAGGAGGAGAAACCCAGACCCAGGCCATCTGCCCATTTGTGGTGCCCAGACACCTGCTGGGGAAGCCATCCTGACACCGGAGAGCGGAGAGCTGGCTCCTGGGCAGGCCCCGGTGCTAGTCCCTCTGTGTGTCCACACTGTGCCAGGAGGCGAGGAGGCTCCCCATGTGGGTGTGAGGGGCATGGGGCTGGATGCTGAGGCTGAGAGAAACCCTGTCCTCACTGTCTGCGCTGGAGCCCCCAGTGTGAGCCATGGGAGAGCAGCTCTGTCCATCAGCCAGTCCCTGACAAAGCGCAGTAGGTGCTGCCCCCCAGCCGGCTCTGCTGCAAGGCCCCGGCTCGGGGCTGCAGAAGCAAGAGCCGAGGGGTGTGGAGAAGGTGGGCCTTGCAGGTTAGCTGGGAGAGGGGTGCAGAAGCTGAGAGTGCGAGGGTAGCAGGATGTCAGTTACCCAGAGCCAGGGGCCGGGAGTCCGGATGTTGCTGCTGGGGAGGTTAGCTGCGACCTTAAATGTCAGGCTGAGGGGTTCCTAGGGGAGACAGGGACTGTAAGGTCACAGTTGGCCTGAAGGGAGAAAAGTTCCCAACCTCTGTCCCCCCTGCCCCCCACCCCCCAGGATGAGCCGCCAGGTGGTCCGCTCCAGCAAGTTCCGCCACGTGTTTGGACAACCGGCCAAGGCCGACCAGTGCTATGAGGATGTACGCGTGTCACAGACCACCTGGGACAGTGGCTTCTGCGCTGTCAACCCCAAGTTTGTGGCCCTGATCTGTGAAGCCAGCGGGGGAGGGGCCTTCTTGGTGCTGCCCCTGGGCAAGGTGAGCATCTGGCCATCGAATGGCCCCCTGAGTGGCCCTGATTAGCTGACTGTCACCCAGCTTCCCTGGGCCACAGTGACGTCATCTGTAAAACTGAGCTGGGCTAAGTGAGCTTTAAGCTTTGCCAGCTCTTAAATGGAAATTGAGCCCTGGCTGGTTTGGCTCAGTGGATAGAACGTCGGCCTGTGGACGGAAGGGTCCCAAGTTGGATTCCAGTCAAGGGCACATGCCTGGGTTGGGGCTCAATCCCAGTAGGGGGTGTGCAGAAAGCAGCCGATCAGTGGTTCTCTCTCATCATTGATGTTTTTCCCTCTCCCTTCCTCTTTGAAATCAATAAAATATATTTAAAAAAAGAAATGGAAATTGAGTCTCAGAGGGGAGACGGCATGAGAAGGATCACACAGTGAGTCCTGAGACTCAGGGTCTCCCAAGTCTCAGCCTGGGGCCTTCTCCCCTCAGGAGCACAGAGAGGGGTGGGCTGGGGTCTGGGCAGGCCCAGCAGTGCTCTTAGAGTTGGGGGAACTCCATGTCTGGGCCTGTCAGAGCCCTTGGGGACCCAGCAAGTTCGGGGCCCAGCCCCCGGGCAGGGATGATATAGAGGGCCCTCTCCTGGCCCCCGCCTGCCTGCTCTGACCCTGCCCCCCGCCCTGCTGTCTGCTGACCCCGACTCCCAGCACACTGCTGTGCTCTAGCGGGTGACGCAGGAAGGGGAGATGGGGCCCTAAGTTGTTACCAAAAAAGGGCCGATGGAAAGCAAAGAGAAGAGGAAGTGGTTGTCAGGGTGAGAGCGGGCCTGCTCTTCGCGCAGGAAGCCCTTCTGCACAGCTGTCCCCGGAAGTGGCCATTTCCAAACCTCTGCTCCTGTCTGGGGGCCGTTATGACAGACTTCCCGGTCCCTCTCCTAGAAGGGCCCATGCCCACAGCCCCACCATTCTCACACACTTGCCTGGGGAACGCTCAGCCCAATGCAATGGACGCCCCCTTCCCCACCCCTGTCCCCGGCCTTGGCCTGTGTGCCTGGAAGCCTCACTCAGGGATGTAGGGTGGGGGCGGGGCCCTCAGGGCACAAATGAGAAACTGAGATAGAGGTGGAGGAATCTGCCAGGATCTGACAGCAGGCAGGACCAGCCCCACACCCCAACCTGTGCTTCCTGTGGCCCTGCGGCGGCCCTTCTGAGTTTCCCTGCCAACTCTGGCCTCGGGCAAACAGAGGACCAACTCCTGCCACCCTTGGCCTGCTCCGCCTCCCGGGCTCCTGCGGCCTTGCCCTCTGTGCCTCTCTGAAGGGCTGTGGGGAGGGTGGATTGGGCTTGGAGGGCAAAAGCACCTCCCTGAGGCCCTGCTGTGCCCTCTAGACTGGACGTGTGGACAAGAATGTGCCCACGGTCTGTGGCCACACAGCGCCCGTGCTGGACATCGCCTGGTGCCCGCACAATGACAACGTCATTGCCAGTGGCTCAGAAGATTGCACAGTCATGGTGAGTGGCGGTGGGGTTACGGGTGAGGAGGGGGCCCAGGCCGGGATCTGACATGTGGAGTGCCCCACTCACGCGCCCCTTCTCTGCAGGTATGGGAGATCCCCGATGGGGGCCTGGTGCTGCCCATGCGGGAGCCTGTCGTCACCCTGGAGGGCCACACCAAGCGCGTGGGCATCATTGCCTGGCACCCCACAGCCCAGAACGTGCTGCTCAGTGCAGGTGCCTGGCGGGAGGGGCAGGGTGGGCTGGCCTCTGACAGCGCGGGGGCGGCTCATGGCTCTGACACGGGGGGCATTGCCCAGGTTGTGACAACGTGATCCTGGTGTGGGACGTGGGCACCGGGGCGGCGGTGCTGACGCTGGGCGCGGATGTGCACCCGGACACCATCTACAGCGTGGACTGGAGCCGGGACGGCGCCCTCATCTGCACCTCGTGCCGCGACAAGCGCGTGCGCCTCATCGAGCCCCGCAAAGGCACTGTAGTAGCTGTGAGTTGCAATGAACTGTGTGACCCTTGACCCAGGGACCTTCACCCCTCCTACCAACCACAACCGGGGTGCTAGATGCTGTCCTCTCTTGCCCCTGCCTGGCCGACCACATCCCTTCCCTCCCAGGAGAAGGACCGTCCTCACGAGGGGACCCGGCCGGTGCGAGCTGTGTTCGTGTCCGACGGGAAGATCCTGACCACGGGCTTCAGCCGCATGAGCGAGCGGCAGGTGGCGCTGTGGGACACGGTGAGCGCAGAGAATCAGGAGGCTTAGTCCCGGTCTTGCCAAGCCCGAGCCCTATGTCCATGGGCCCGTTTACCCGCCGGAGATGGGGGTTTCCACTGGTTGGTCTGTAAGGGTCACCCCCACCCGGTGACTGCCCAGTGAAGGGCTCCGCCCGGGGCCTGACGTGGCCCAGCTCATTGTTCTCTCCCACCCGTCTCTACAGAAGCAGCTGGAGGAGCCGCTGTCCCTGCAGGAGCTGGACACGAGCAGCGGCGTCCTGCTGCCCTTCTTTGACCCCGACACCAACATCGTCTACCTCTGTGGCAAGGTGGCCCAGTGGGGCGGGGGGCCAGGGGAGGGAGGTGGGTGGAGGGCTCAGGAAGGAGCACGGCTGCAGGCCCCTGTCGGTGCTGATCTCCCCTCGCACCCTCCACCCGCAGGGTGACAGCTCCATCCGGTACTTCGAGATCACTTCCGAGGCCCCATTCCTGCACTATCTCTCCATGTTCAGCTCCAAGGAGTCCCAGCGTGGCATGGGCTACATGCCCAAACGTGGCCTGGAGGTGAACAAGTGTGAGATCGCCAGGTGACTGTTCCCTGACCCTGACCTGAGCATGCTCCTTGGGCAGCGCTGATCTCATGCTGACCTTCAGTCTCACCCCAACTGTGCTGTGGGCGCTGCTCACCTTCCTGTTTCCACAGGTTCTACAAGCTGCATGAGCGCAAGTGTGAGCCCATCGCCATGACAGTGCCTAGAAAGGTGATGCCATGTCCCTCCCTGGGCTCTGGGCTGGGCCCACCTTGCAGAGCTGCAGGGTGGTGGTGTGGCCTAAGCACGCTCTTAACCAGCCTTGGTCTTGCCCACAGTCGGACCTGTTCCAGGAGGACCTGTACCCGCCCACTGCAGGGCCTGACGCTGCCCTCACCGCCGAGGAGTGGCTGGGGGGTCGGGATGCTGGGCCCCTCCTCATTTCCCTCAAGGATGGCTACGTGCCCTCAAAGAGCCGGGAGCTGAGGGTCAACCGGGGCCTGGACACCGGGCGCAGGAAGACAGCACCAGAGGCCAGTGGCACTCCAAGCTCGGTGAGAGGCGGATGGGAGGCTGGAGTCAGGATGGGAAGACAGGGTAGGGAGGGGCTGCCATCGCTGTGGTCACTGACCGGGGGAAGGAGGCTGGCCTCTGAGGCAGCCCAGACTCACAGGGAGCTGGCAGTGGGTAATCCTGAGGCCTCAGAACGCAGCTTTCAGGCTTGTAGGCCTGCAGCTCTCTGGGCAGCAACTGGCTGAGAGACAGAAGGGCCCAAGCTCTGGGGCTCTCGGCCAGGTAAGGGGAGTCCAGGGTGGAGCGGGCCTAACGCAGCGCTGGATCCTCCAGGACGTCGTGTCCCGGCTGGAGGAGGAGGTGAGGAAGCTCCAGGCCACGGTGCAGGAGCTCCAGAAGCGCTTGGATAGGCTGGAGGAGACAGTCCTGGCCAAGTAGACTCCGGGGCCTTCAGCTGGGGCCCACCGCATCGCCTCCCCGCCCCCCTTTCCTTCCACTCCTTAGGCCACAGTGGCAGATAAAATAAAATGGCTTTATTTTCTGGTACCTCTCAGACTCTGATGACTGTGCGCCCGAGTGCTGAGTCTGAACTCCCCCTCAGAAGCCTTGATGGGATTGGCCCATGGCAGGGGCTGAGGGATGCTTCCAAATGCTCTGGAGTAAACCACAGGTCTGGTGGGGGAGCACCCCATTCTGGTATGGTTTGGGGGTGTTTTGCAGCTGGCAGGTGTGAGTAGCCCGGGGCTTCAGGAACTCCCACGTTTACCCCAAAGCTGCTTTTTCTAGTTAACCACATCAGGTTACATGTAACGTACTAACAACACTGTTGCTTGTGGGGAAATGAAACAATTAGCTCCTACAGGACCTCTTTCAAACTGTAGGCCTGAGGGGTCCTTTTGTAAAGAGAAAGCTTAGAACTAAAGCCAAGGCCCAACCCTAGTTTACAGGCGAGGAAACTGAGGCACCGAGTAGTTGAAGGGCAGGTCCTGAGTCATGACTTGTCTCCCCGCCTAGTTTGGAGCCTTCCTGCGCAGGGCTGCTGCCTCTTGAGCCCTTATTGTGGGTCTCGCCTGGGCCTGGCCTATGAGGCAGGGACCTCAATAACCTGTCAGGCTCCATCAAGTGGGGGCTTGGAAGTGGGTTTGACACCCACCTTAGCAGGTGACCCCTGAGTTGGGACACAGGCTACGAGGAGTAGGCGTCCTGGCCACAGCAGTTTGGTTCATACCACACAGGGCAGCGAGGACTCAGTGCCCATCTGCTGCCCCTTCTCCCTCTTCAGCATGCCAGAGAAAACCACCTGGGCAGAGCGATGAGGCAGCCGTAAGATTGTCCCTGTCTGCCCATTTTGGTCTCACCCTCTAAGAAAGCCGTTACTCTGGGCAAGTTACTTCTTTCCAATAAAATGGGGAGGGATCCCACAACCCTGTGAACACAGTGGTGGACTCAATCAGGGCTGTGACAGAATCCGGAAATCTGGACTCTGGGCCTATGGAAGGTGAGGTGCCTTCTCTGAGCCTCTCCTGTACGATGGGGACAGGCCCTTCTGAATGGCTGGTCACTAGCTGTCCTCCTGGCCCGGGAGAATTGAAAAACAGCTCAGGAAAGAATCTGGGAACCCAGAAGGGCTCACCTGTCATCACCCTGACTTCCAGGTTTCCAACCCATTCTCCCTCTGATAAGAACAAGAGAAGGAGATGGGGGTGGAGGAGGAGGGGAAATAATTTAGGGGCCAAGAAACTGACCTTGAAAACAGAGGGGAACAGAGTGGGTGGAATGGCTGAAATCTGTAATCCATATTCCCAAACAGCCCTAGCCCCACTAGGTCTCAGGGACTTCACGTGCAAGGCCTTACCAATCCTGGTACTTGTGTTTAAGCTGATACTAGAGGCATCACCTGTCCCTATTTTGTGGCTCTGGTTGACCTTATTTTCCTGTTCTACCTATATTCATATCCTCTGCCAACACCTCCATTCTTGAAAACCACATGGTGCCCAGCCGGTGTGGCCCAGAGGTTGAGCGTTGACCTATGAACCAGGAGGTTACAGTTTGATTCCCAGTAAGGGCACATGCCCAGGTTGTGGGCTCGATACCCAGTTGGGGAAGAGGGGGTGCAGGAGGTAACTGATCAATGATTCTTTCTCATCATTGATGTTTCTCTCCCTCTCAGAAATCAATAAAAATATTAAGTAAAAAAACACACCAAAAACCACATGGTCTTCTCAAGGGGGTCTGGCCACACCAAGCCCAGGGCTAAAAGGTCATTGGACCGTCTCCAGGGGGCCAGAAAACATCAGCATCCCAGGTGCTGGGGTACCATGTCCCTGTGGGAACCTGCAGGGAAGTGGGGAATCCTCTATTATGCTTCTGACATGGGGTGATGTTGGTGAGAGGGAAAGGTTTGTTAAATTGGCCAGCACCCTGAAACTCAGAGCACTTTCTCATCTGTGCATTTTTGTTGTTGTTAATCTTCACCCAAGGATTTTTTGTCATTGATTTTTAGAGTGGAAGGGCTGGGGGGGACATAGATGTAAGAGAAACACATCAATTAGTTGCCTCCTGAACCCAGACCGGGGGTGGGATCAAACCTGCAACCCAGGTACATGCCCTTGATTGGGAATTGAACCCAGGACCCACTGGTTTGCAGGCCATGCTCTAACAACTGAACCACACCAGCCAGGGCTCATCTGTGCATCTTGAAGGCTGGCACAGGGCAGGAACACCCAGCAATTGTCCACAAATAGGTGGTTGGTTAGTAGGAGTCTTCGAAGCATTACAAAAAGGCCTGTGAGGCCTGTCCTGAAGGGGATTTTAAGGATTGAACTTGCACTTTATAAGTGGGGACACAGAGGCCTTTGGGCGGAGAGGGACTTGCCCAAGTTAAAACAATGAGGAGACAACAAAGAGTGTCAGGGCAGGGAGAAGCCAGGCTCTAGACAGCCTCAGTGCCCCTCCCACACACAACACAGCAACACAGAAGCTGGCCCTGATTCATAATTTAATGGCTGTGCAGGTGCTGGTCTCTTATTTCTGCCGCTCACGGGCCCACTGCTCTGGGGTCAGGGTTTTCTGCTCAAAGGCATGGATATGCGGGAGCTCTTCTGCTAGACACGCGTTCACCAGCCTGCGGGAGAGACGTTGTTAGGAAACCGCAGAGCCTAAGTCGGTCCCCGAAGCTAGGTTGACCCAGAAGGCTGGAGGCGTCCCCAAGTTGTGGCGCCCAGGACCTGGGACAGGAGAGGTAGAGGGCCTAAGCCTCAATACTCCCGGCGGGGGCCGAGAAGGCGAAAACTTTGGGGCTGTAGCCTACAGGGCTGGGCCGCATTGCCGGGGCGAGGGAGTTGGGTTGCGGGGTCCCGGGGACTGTGGGGCCGGGACAGCGTTGAGCGAGGGGTTCCCCGGGCCTCACCGGTGTCTCTGGAGCAGCGGCTTCCCCTCGAACTTGGCCGACACCACCAGGACTCGGAAGCTGGACGCGCAACGGTTGGGAGTCGTGTCCTCCACCTCCTAAGGGGCAGAATCATGGGGATGGTGCCAAGCCGCCCACCCTGAAGCCTGTTGCCCTCGCCGGGCAGGTCCAGGCCGCGCAGCTCACCACGTGCTCTGCCTGCAGGTCCCGCCGCAGCTTCTCCCGCAGGTGCTCGGCGCTGAGTTCCATGGCGGCCGGCGGGGGCGGCCCGGCGCGGGCAGAAACCCCGACCCCACGCGGGTCACGCTGCTTCCACCCTCACTGGCCTGGCGCCTCTTCTGCTGAGGCCTCTACTTCCGCCCTTACTGAGGCGTCCGTGAGCCCAGCACTTCCGCCCTCACGGAAACCCAGTTTCCAACCGCCCGCGTTCCGCGCCTGCCGCCCGCCAGCCAATCAGAGCCTGCCCACGGCCGGGCTCCGCCCCCGCCGACGCTCATTGGTGCCGCCGCCCGAGGTTCCGCGGGGGTTTGGAGTCCTAGCTCCAGCCAGGAGCGGGTGCCCGAACCCGCGCTGCTGCAGCCGCCACCGAGGGCTTTTCCCCAGACTAGTGTATCGCGGCCCTGGCAACCCAACCCTCCCCGACTCAGAGGGCACAGCAACCAACCCCCACGTCCCGATGGGTCCCGAGGGGGGCGCGGCGAGGCCCGGGTGCTTCTTCGGCGTCTACCTGCTCTATTGCCTGAACCCTCGGCACCGGGGCCGCGTCTACGTGGGGTTCACCGTCAACCCGGCTCGTCGGGTGCAGCAGCACAACGGAGGCCGCAGAAAAGGCGGGGCCTGGCGGACCAGCGGGCGCGGGCCCTGGTAAGAGGGGTGGTCACGCAAGAGGAGGGCTTCAAGGAGGCGGCGGGCCCGGGGCAGAGTCAGTGACAGTGGGCGGGGCCGGTGTGGCGCTGAGAACCGGGCCTTGGGGTGGCTGGTGAGGTGGGTGGGCCTGTCTCCGGGGAGGAGCCTGTGGGGAGGAGGAGCCTGTGAGACTAGGATGTTAGGAAGGGGACTGATGGTTTAGGCCTGGTCCAGCGACAGGGGTTGGTGAACCAGGCTGGGTGGAAGATAGAACCTGGGAAGGCAGTTAAGTCCCTGTGAGCGGAGGCGGAGCCGAGGAGGCAGGTGCGAGGGGCGGACCTCTAAGGAGGGCAGCGCCTCGTGGACGAGGCTTGACGCCCAGGGTGAGGACTCCACTCTCTGGCAGGACTGAAGGCGAACCGTGGCGAGGGGACTGGGCTTGACACGGGTGGAGCGGGGGTAGGGGGGTGGGAGGGGGCGGGGCATTTCACGGGCCACGCCCTCGTTCTCTTCCCCAGGGAGATGGTGCTCATAGTGCACGGCTTCCCGTCCGCCGTGGCCGCCCTTCGGGTAAGGAAGGAGACGGGTGGCAGGAAGATGGGCTGGGGCGCGGGACCCTCCCGGGGCGGCCCTGAAGCCCTCACTCCCGCCCGCAGTTCGAGTGGGCCTGGCAGCACCCGCAGGCCTCGCGCCGCCTGGCACACGTGGCGCCACGCCTGCGCAGCGAGGCCGCCTTCGCCTTCCACCTGCGGGTGCTGGCGCACATGCTGCGCGGCGCCCTGGGCGCGCCTCCCGCTCACCCTGCGCTGGCTGCGCGCCGACTTCCGCCAGGAGCTCTGCCTGCCACCCCCGCCTCACGTGCCGGTAGCCTTCGGGCCTCCGCCACCCCGGATGCTGGCCCCCAAGCGTCCGGCCCGTCCCTTTGCTGACACCGAGCCCCAGCCGGACCAGGACGCTGAGGCCCCCTGCACCCTGTGCGCGCGCGCGCTTCAGGTGAGAGGCTCACCTGGGCTCCAGATTGGGGCAGGCCTAGAGTTCAGACGACTGAGGACCAGGCTGTCTATTGGAGGGTCGCACAGCCCACCCACAGCCTTTGCCCGCCTTGCTTCCATCTCTAAAATGGGGACCATAGTACTTGCGGCCATTCCTGCCCCGGACCTTTGCTCTTCTTTCCCTGGAAAGTTCTTCCCTAGACCTTCGGTCTGGATGAAATGCCACCTCTTTTCCATGAGGTCTTCCTTGGCTCTCTCTCTCAAATTGCAACTTTCTTGGTACTGCTTTTCTTTTTTAAAAATATGTTTTTATTGATTTTAGAGAGGAAGGGAGAGGGAGAAACATTGATAGGCTGCTTCCTGCACGCCCCCTAGTGGGAATCAACCTGGTAACCCAGGCATGTGCCATGACCAGAATCCAAACAGCAGCCTCTGGGTGCATGGGACAATGCTCAATCAACCGAGTCACACCATCAGGCTCCCCCCCCCCCCCTTTTTAAGGCTTAACACTTATTGTCTAACATCATGTGCAGTTGACTCTTGAACAATATGAGGATTAGGGGTGCTGAACCCATGCAGTGAAAAAGCCACATATAACTTTTTACTTCCCCCAACAGCCCCCCTTCGGTATCCATTGGTGATTGGTTCCAGGACCTTCCCACCTCCTTGGACTTTCAAGTCTCTTATATAAAATGGCATAGAACAGTGTAAACAGTCAGCCCTCTGCATTTTGGTCCCCGCCCTGGACCAAAAATACTGTTTTTAAATCTGTGGTTGGTTGAATCTGCAGATGCAAAACCCAGGGATATGGAGGGCCCACTGTGTATTGGGGGGAAAAATCTGTGTGTAAATGGACCACCCTGTTCAAACCTGTGTTCTTCAGGGGTCAACTATTATTTAATTATCAGTCTCACCCCCCCCCCCCATACTATACAAGGGTAGTTCTTATTTAGTACTGTGGAAGGATGTGATACAGAGCAGGTGGCAAATAAATATTTAGTATATTAACTGAGATGACAGGTCTGACTTTCACTCACATTAAATGTAAGTAAACTGCATACTTTACAAGCCGCTAACCTAGGGGAATACATTCTGAGAGATGTGTCTTTAGACAATTTTACGGTGTGAACATCATAGAGTGCACTTACACACACCTAGATGGTGTAGCCTACTACACATCTAGGCTATTTGCTAGACCTCCATCATATATGTGGGTCCGTGACCAAATCGTTGACTTGGCATGTGACTGTACTTGCCACTCAGAGATTAGCCATGGAGATCACTTAGCCTGTAAGGAACTCTAGGTCTAGCTGCAGTGGCCGTGCTGTTGTAGAATCGCTGCTAATACTCAGAGAAAATTGGCCAGCTTAGTCCCTGTGAGCAAGCATTATAACTCCTCCATACCTGTTTCCTCATCTATAATATACAGATAAGAGTAGTATGTGCCTCATAGGTGATGTAAAGCCCCTGGAACAGTGTCTGGTCCATAGAAATTCTTTGAGTGTTAGTTACATCACTACTCCCCATTTTCTCCCTTCCCTGCCTGCCCCCTCGGACAGGATGAAGAAGGCCCCCTGTGTTGCCCCCACCCTGGCTGCTCCCTAAGGGCCCACATGACCTGCCTGGCAGACGAGTTCCTGCAGGAGGAGCCCGGGCAGCTTCTGCCCCTAGAGGGCCGATGCCCTGGGTAAGTCCAGCATCCCTCCCCTAGCCCGGTTTACCTCTGTGAAGACACTGCCTAGGCCCAGGGCATCTGAGTCCTCATCTTGGCACCCAGGGCCTAGGCCGAAGGAGGCTTGTGATCTGACTCTGTCTCCTACCAACTGCACCCTTGGTAGCTGCAAGAACTCACTGCTGTGGGGAGACCTGATCTGGCTGTGCCGGATGGGCTCCGAGGAGGAAGAGAACTTGGAATTAGAAGAGGTGAGAGGTGTTTTGGACCCTGCCCCAGCCTATCCCCTGGGCTGCGTCTGACCACCCTTCTTGTCTCCACAGGAACACTGGACAGACATGCTAGAGATCTGACCCTCAGCACCCCCAGCCCTCCACCCATTCCTTATCCGTGCCACTGCCTTTGGGTCTCGGCAATTTTTACTTGAGTACAATAAAAAGTCTGAGTTAAGGGCATCTTCCGGTATTTGCTGGGGTGTGTGTGGAGTTAGGGGGCAAAGGCCCTGCCAGTTGCTGGGGCCTGAGGAGAACAGAGGACGGGGGAGGGGCCACTGACCCCAGATGGACCAGCTTCTCTCTGCTGGAGGCCCTTCTGCCTCAGCTTTCCCCTGGCCTGCCTCTGAGATCACAGTTCCTTTTGGTTTAAATATATATATATATATATATATATATATATATATATATATAATTTCTATTGATTTCAGAGAAGGGAGAAAGAGAAACAGCAATGATGAGAGAGAATCACTGATGGGCTGCCTCCTGCAGGGCCCCTACTGGGGATTGAGCCCACAACCCAGGCATGTGCCCTACTGGAAATCGAACCCTGTCCTGGTTCTTGGGTCGATGCTCAAGCACTGAGCCACACCAGCTGGGCTGAGGTCACATTCTTGATGGCCTGGAGACTCACACCCTGACTCAGAGCTCACCTGCCTCCAGTGCCCAGATGGACTTTGGACTTTAATCCAAACAGTAAGGACAGAGGCCAAGCCCCCTTTTCTTCCCCTGGGGGCTGTTCTCCCATCACTCAAGTGAGGTCCCACGGGAACCATGGAATGGGGTCACTCCCGGGGTTATGAGCCTCCAGCGTTCTTGCTCTTTCCCATCCTATGCTGCCTCAAGGAGACCCTGCTGATCAGTGCCCTGTCCCAATCCCTGTCACCCACCCACCCACCCACATCACTCCAGCCTGGGCTTCCTGGGCCTGTGGGCTGCCCCTGACCTTAACCTTTGGTCCTCAGACTGGCCTGGGGCCACCTTTCCCCTCCACTCCTCTGTCCTCTGGAGATCGCGTTTATTAGAAAAAGCTGTTGGCTCCTACAGGAGTACAAGTCAGACCCCGGGATTACAGCTCAAAAAAAAAAAAAAAAAAAGGCTATTAGGCCCTTTTGTGTTGCTTTTATCTTTTATTTTCTACACACCAAACCCACATGTTGGGTTTTCAGGCCAGTCTAATCTTGGCTTCAGCTGGGGTGCTAATGAGGGTAGCAGAGAGGGGCCCTCCCACCCCAAACCCCATCCCAAACCCCACCCATTCCTGGAGGACAGCCAAGGCCCAGTGCTGGCTCCAAATCCCTCCCACTTTGGACCTATAAAACTTGCAGCTCTCTGCAGTTCTGCACTCACCTACGGGACGGCACAACAGAGCGCCACAAGGCCAAGGTCTGGAGAGGTCAGGTGAGTGCTAGGATAGGGTGGGCTGGGCCAGACCTCACTCACTCTGCACTGTTCGCTCCCACTGCTTGATCTCTCCATTCCAGCCTCTACTGACCCTGCCCTTTCCCCTGAATCCCAGCTCAATCCGACGCTGCCCTTTCCCCATGGAAATCCCAGCTCAGTCTGATACCATCTGCAGTCTGGCCTGGAACCCGTTCCTCTTTCCATTTCCACTGGGGCATGTTTTGCTCATCACACCAGAATGGCTCCCAAAACAAGCCGTTGCTCAATTAGCTGTGTGTGCAAGGCCAGCACAGCCAAGGGTTTGGTGAGCCTGAGGGGGGGCGGCAAAGGATTAAAGAAAAGACAGACAGAATAAGCTGGGTCTAGGTCAGGGGTGGGCAAACTTTTTGACTCGAGGGCCACAATGGGTTCTTAAACTGGACCAGAGGGCCGGAACAAAAGCATGGATGGAGTGTTTGTGTGAACTAATATAAATTCAAAGTAAACATCATTACATAAAAGGGTACGGTCTTTTTTTTTTTTTTTTTTTTTTTTTTTTTAGTTTTATTCATTTCAAACGGGCCGTAGTTTGCCCACGGCTGGTCTAGGTGGATCTCCTGTGCCTGGCTGAGGCCACATAGAGAGATCCAGATAGCCAGAGGTAAACAAGGTAGTGGTCTCCATAGTTACAATGTTCTTGTGAGTTTCACTTGTTTTGACAGCACTTGCTACACTTCCTGCAGCCCATTAGCCACCCAGATAGGATCTAGGGAGCATCATAAAGTCAAGCTTAATTATGCTAAGAGGGCTGTGCCCTCTAAGCTGGGACTTGTTTGTGGCTTTGCTAATAGGTCAGTCTGAGGCTTAACCCTATAGCCACTCCCTACATCTCACCCTTATTTATTTTTAAGCTACTATAATGAAAAACTTAAACATCAAGAACAAAACTCTGGCTATTAAAACAATAACAAAACAATGCCAATGCAAACCCAAACTATAGACATTTAACATTTTAAAACTTAAACATCAAGAACAAAGCTCTGGCTATTAACAAAATAATGCCAATGCAGCACAGCAATAATAAAGAAATCAAACTACAGTAACATTTTTCTACTAAATGAAAGTTTCTTTTGTTGATTTACTCAGAGTCCTTGGACTTGGCTGTGCAAGACTGGGAGCTAATGAATGCCATCATAGCCAGAAACATGGTTAAGGGAGTAGCTTCCACTTCTTGCTTTTCTACCATCTGCTGGGCCTCAGTCCTTAACTTCTTCAGCTGACCCCATGTTGGCATCTCGATCCCTTGCATAGTCTTCGTCATCTTCCTTTTCTGTATTGCTGTCATCGGGGCAACTCTCAGTCTTTTGAACGATTGGACAAGGACCTTCTCTGGGTCCATTGTGGTGACGCATGTAATGCTCTGGTATCCAGATTGGCTGCACTGCTCCTTCTGGAAGATACAAAACACAACCTCTTCCCCACAGCATTACTAGATCTGGTAAAACTCTTGTCTGGTTTGTGTAACCTTCCACCGGGCTAACTCAGCAGAGACTATTGTACAGGAGGCCCGATGCCTTTTGGCCACTGTACAACTCTGCATTGTAATTAAAAAAATTTAACACATAACATTCTTCTCCCCCTTTTTTTGTTTTTATAGTTGCATTTTAAGAGTAGGATTGACTCTTTCTGCTATTGCCTGAGTCCTGATCTATCACCCCAGGAAGAACTTGCCAATCCTGTGCTTCCCGGGGTGGCACGATAACAGTTTACTGAGCCAGCTGGAAAGGCTGCAGTGGGGTTAAGGATAAGACCCCTACTGTTTGGTGGGGCCGGGGCTGGCCCTGCTTGAAGTTTCCCTGCCTAGGGGGTGATTGAGTTATCATCAACATCAGCCTTGGAGCGGCATTCATTTGCCCAATGCTTTCCTCTCCTGCATCTTGGACATAGTCCAGGCTGCCTGTTTTCACTCCCTGTAGCCTGTTGACTTCCATTTCTAGCATTACAGTTTTTAGCAAAATGCCCTAGTTTACCACAGTTAAAGCATCCCCCTTTCCTTTTCTGCTGACCAGTGAGTAACGTCTCCTTGAGGCAGCTCCTTGAACGTAGGCGGGTCCAATGTCAGCACAGACATGAATATAATACTTCCACAGTAAGTAGTCTCCAGGTGAGAGACAAGCCTTTGCGACAACATTAAGCCTCTGGTAACCTTCCACTCTCTGTCTTAGTTCCCCTGCCACATTCATCCATTCCCTTTCAGGAGTGGGCTCTAGGTAGTCCTGAATCAGGGACCACAGACTGAAAGTAGAAAGAGGAATTTTCCCGGAACCTTCAACTATATAACGATCTCTGAGTTGTTTTCCTGCCTTCTCCCATTTCTCTACATTTACCTTTCCTTCCTCAGGAAACCATGGGCAGGTTTTACTTAGAAAATCCAACAAATCGAAAAGCTGTTGATACCTCACAGAACAGCCCCGTGCTTGGAGCATAACCTTAAGCATGGATACGTATAAATCCTTTTCCTGTGATCCTGAATTTCCCATGTTTGACACCTAGTTATGACTAAACTTCGCTCCTTACTTTCCTTCTTGTTTTCTGCACATGCTTCACTGGAGCGTCCTTTCACCTGACAACTGTAGTTTCCCCGAACTCAGGCCCCGCATTGGGCGCCACGTGTGCTGGGCCAGCACAGCCAAGGGTTCGGTGAGCCTGAGGCGGGGCAGCTAGGGATTAAAGAAAAGACAGACAAAGAGAATAAGCTGGGTCTGGGTGGATCTCCTGTGCCTGGCTGAGGCCACACAGAGAGATCCAGAGGGCAAGCTGAGCCTTTATTTTATAGCCAGAGGTAAACAAGGTAGTGGTCTGCATAGTTACAATGTTCTTGTGAGTTTCACTTGTTTTGGTAGCACTTGCTCCACATCCTGCAGCCCATTACCCAGATAGGATCTAGGGAGCATCATAAGGTCAAGCTTAATTATGCTAAGAGGGCTGTGCCCTCTAAGCTGGGACTTGTTTGTGGCTTTGCAAACAGGTAAGTCCAAGGCTTAACCCTATAGCCGAGCCCTACAGCTGTGTTTCTCTCTGAGCCAAGATGGAGTGTGGCTGAGCAAGTTGGGTCACAGGCCCAGTTGGCTTTGGGGAGGTTTCTGTATGTGAGGGCTTAGGGAGCTCAAGGAGGGAAGGATGGGGAGGAGCCCACTGGGATCAGATCCAGAGCTGCAGCAGCAAGTACAGAAAGAAAACACGTGGCAGGCCACAGAGTAGGAGTTTTCTCCAGTGCACACTGGAATCTCCTGGTCAGCTTCCAAAACCCAGGCACCTGGGTCCCACCAGAGCAATTTAATTAACTTGGGGTGTGGCCCAGGCACTGGGATTTTAAAATAAATATTTTTAAAATTGATTTTACAGCGAGTACAGAGAGGGAGAGATAGAAACATCAATGATGAGAGAATCATTGACTGCCTCCTGCATGCCCCCTATTGTGGATCGAGCTGGCAACCCAGGCATGTATGTACCTTGACGGGGAATGGAACCTTGACCTCCTGGTTCATGGGTAGATGCTCAACCAGTGAGCCACTCTAGCTGGGCAGGCATTGGGATTTTTAAAAGTTCTGCGGGTAAATCCAAGATGCCTCCAGAGTTGTGGCCCCACTGTGTTAGATCCGGCCGGAATCCAGCCCAGCACTCACTGGCTCTGAGTGTAGGCAAGTTGCTCAGCCTGTTTCCTTACCTTAAAGCAATTAAACAGAAGACATTGTTGTGATGTTGTTAAGGGAGGTCGGCCCCACTCCGGCCCTGACTCGGAAGCATGGAGCTGGTCCAGGACACCTCCCGCCCGCCACTGAAGTATGTGAAGGGGGTGCCTCTCATCAAGTACTTTGCAGAGGCAATTGGGCCACTGCAGAGCTTACAACCCAGGCCCGATGACCTGCTCATCAGCACCTACCCCAAATCTGGTAGGTGATGAGGACCACCCACCCCTCTCCTGGGCTGCAGTCCCCACCTCGGGCCAGCAGGGGTGTGCCCTCAGCCCCGCTTACCTCCCATTTTCCTCTCCAGGCACCACCTGGGTGAGTGAGATTCTGGACATGATCTACCAGGACGGCGACTTGGAGAAGTGTCAGAGGGCTCCCATCTTAACCCGGGTGCCCTTCCTTGAGTTCAAGGGTCCAGGGTGTCCCACAGGTGTGTGGTGAGGTGCTGGAGGCCAGTGAGGTGGAGGGAGGGAGGACCCGGGCTCCAGCTCACTGGACCTTTCCTATCCATGGCTTAGGCATGGAGGTTCTGAAAGATACACCAGCCCCACGGCTCCTCAAGACACACTTGCCCCTGGCTCTGCTCCCACAGGCCCTGCTGGACCAGAAGATTAAGGTGAGTGGCAGAGGAAGCTACAGAAAAAGCCAGCTGGGGTCAACCCAGCTTTGGCCCCATCTTCTAGGAAGGTCTCACCTTAAACGGGGGAAGTCCTCAGCCTCATGCTCTGGTGGGTCAGATGGCCAGTGACAGTGAGACTTTGCAGGGCCTTGGTGCTCACAGGCCTGTGGAGGAGGGGCCGGTGGGAATTCTGCACGCCTTGTTCCAAATCGGTACAGTGGCATTGAGAAGATTGGATGAGTATAAAATACAGTTCCTGGAACCAGCCAGGACTCTGGCATCAGAGCAAGGCTTCAAGTCCCAGCTCAGTCACACCCAAGTCAGCCTCTAAGCCTGTTTCCCTCTTGGCCAGACCAAGAGAGAACCTCCCTTGCAGGGAGGCTGTGAAGGGTGGAATGTGATGCTTAAAGATACTCTAGTGCCTGCTGTGCTGTGCTGTGCGGTGATGGTGCGGTGCGGGGTGGGGTGTGTCTTCTGCCTCTCCAGGTGATCTATGTTGCCCGGAACGCCAAGGATGTGGCTGTCTCCTATTACCACTTTTACCGCATGGCCAAGGTGTACCCTGAGCCTGGCACCTGGGACAGCTTCCTGGAGAAGTTCATGGCTGGGGAAGGTGGGGCTGACTCTGGAGGAAGGAGGGGGTGAGCTGAGGGGCAGCCAGCTGGAACGAATACCAACCTCTATCCGTGCCCCCTGCCCTTTTCCCCAGTGTCCTATGGGTCCTGGTACCAGCACGTGCGGGAGTGGTGGGAGCTGAGGCACACCCACCCTGTTCTCTACCTCTTCTACGAGGACATGCAGGAGGTGAGACACCGCTACCACTTCCCTGCACGTGGGGCGAGTCCCAAGACCTTCCAAGCCCCGCTTCCCTATGGCAGACCCTACACGGGTCCTAGACCCACCTCACCTTCCCTGCCCCTTGGGCAGCACACTCCCTACAGCTCTTATCTCCTAGCGCCCGAGTCAGTGCCAAGTGCAGTCACTGATCACCCATTTACTGCTACTGCTTCTCCCTGGGCCCAGTTATGACAGAGGGCTGTCCATGCCCTCACCATAAGGAGCCAGATACAGCTTCTTAACAGATCACAGGGCAGAAGGCAATTAATTTTGCCCCAGGAGTGCCAGAGTACAAAGGACCAGAGTCATGGAGCAGGGTCGGAAGTGGCCGTGAGGTTAGGGTGGGGCCTCCCTTTTGTTTGTTCAATGCACAACCCAAGCCTCCACTGAAGAGCCCCCCTGTTGCTGCAGAACCCCAAAAGGGAGATTCGGAAGATTCTGGAGTTCGTGGGCCGCTCCCTGTCAGAGGAGACCGTGGATCACATTGTGCGGCACACGTCGTTCAAGGAGATGAAGAAGAACCCCATGGCCAACTACAGCACCTTACCCGTGGAGATCATGGACCACAACATTTCCGCCTTCATGAGGAAAGGTGAGTGCCCACCAGGAGGGGCGCTGGGGAGGCGAGGGCGGGAGCAGAGGCTAGAGCTGGCCCTGGGCCATGTGGGGCCCCTGCTTTGGCCAGGACCTCTAGCCTCCCTCCTTCCCTCCCCACCTCCCTCCCCAGGCATCACGGGGGACTGGAAAACCATGTTCACTGTGGCCCAGAATGAGCGCTTTGATGCCCACTACGCTGAGAAGATGGCAGGCTGCAACCTCAAGTTCCACACAGAGCTGTGAGTGGTGTTCGTGGGACCGCTCCCCAGGGAGTGTGTGCGAGTGGCCCGACAGGGGCCTCAAGAATAAAGTACAGCTTGTGTTGCATGGAGTGTGCCTATTGGAAGAAAAGCAGACCTGAGCTGAGAGAAAGAGTAACTGCCCACTGGGACCAAGTGAGGCCCCAGTTCCCCAACTTGCCTTATGTGGGGAGGGGTAAGAACCCAGGAGACATGGCAAAGGGGAAGAACACTTATTTCTTCACATAATGTCTTGTTGCATGCCCCCGTGAGGTGGCAGGAGGCTGCCAGCCTGCATCACTTTTTCTTGGGCTCCTTACAAGCCACCACGTACCTCTGGGCCACATTGAGGGGAGGGGAGTAACCATCTGCATAGGAAGTGTCTTCAAACAGGACCGAATAGTCATCCTGGGGCTGTGGCAGGAGGCAGACAGGAGGCGCTGGTCAGAAAGCCCCAGGCCAGCGCTCCCCTCCCCCCAAGCCTAGACTGACAGGCACCTCTGGTGTGTGGGCTCCTAGCCTTTCCCGTCTCATCTTCACTCAAGAAGTCTAGATGTTTGAACCTGCTCCCTGCTACAGAGCTCCTCAGCCACCAAGTCCAAGGATGGGGGTGAATAGCAAGGGAAAGGACTCGCTAGCTACACAGGCGGCCACACGGAAGGGGCCCCTAGGTTAAGGGGAGCAAGGACAACTCAGAGGGCAGCAGGCAGGGGTCCTGGAGGAAGAGGGGAGCCCAGCCTTTAAACTGCCATCAGTGATGGGTGATTAGAGGGCAGGGGTCGGGGGTGAAGACTGGCCCTGAGCAAGGCTTCCATCTCGGGGCTCAGGCTCCCCACCTCAATGCGAAAGCGAGGCTAGACTAGAGGACACACAGGGGCTTTCTAAGGCTCCGCAGGGCGCCGGCACTGCCTGGAGGACAGGCTGGAGGGGTTACAGCTCAGGACCCCGCCAGCTCAAAGAGGTACAAGGACAAGAGGGAAGGAGACCGACCCCATGACCTGTCTGGTCAGCGGGGTGGTCCTGGTGATGGACGATCTCTCCCCGGGGGCTGCCTTACCCGTTGTGGGGGGGTGTGGATCAGGGCACGGTAGAAGCAGGTGGTCTGGGGATACAGGGCCAGCACGAGCTGCTCCTTCTGGAATAAGGCTTCGGGGTCCGTCTCAGGGTTGGCCTTCCACTGGGGCAGTGGGATGATGCGCCGCCGGCTCAGGGTGTGTCTCCTGGAGGGGCGCTTAGGTCAACCCATGGCAGGTGGGGGCTCTTTCCCAGCAGCAGGGCTGTCCCCAGGCTTCCCTCGCCCGCCCTGGCCAGCACACTCACTCTTTGCCTTCTTCATCAATGTCATCGACCTCATACCTGCGGGTGAGCGGAAAGAGAGCAGTGGATGCAGGGCGGTGCACACCAGGTGGGGACTGGGGAGGAGGGTGAGGAGGGAAGTAGCCCAAGGAGCCGGCTCTTCACACGTGTCCCAGTTCCCACAGGGCTGGGCGCGTCCACTCACTTGTTGGTGGCATGGCTGTAACTGACCACCTCGGCCAGGATCCACTGCTCATCCCCATCCACGGCCTTGACCCGGGCAGCCACCTTGTCTCCAGGTTTGGCCACGTAGTCCCCAGAGGCCGGAATGGCCCCGCAGAGTGGGGGCGGCCTGTGGAGGGGATAACGTGTCAGTCCCAGCCCCTCCCCTGCCAGCTCCCCCTCCCTGGGCCTGCCCTCACTTGTCACCAGGCTTCCCGATCCACAGCGGCAGGGTCATGGCCGACTGCTGCAGCAGGGTCATCAGCACCCCCCTGCGCATGGTCTTCCGCGGGGGCTCCGAGTCATTGTACAGGCCCGCGATCTTGGCCGCTGTGGGAAGGAAGTGGGCCCCTGAGGCACCAGGGATAGGGTGCCTGCCCCTGGCTCCCCACCTCTCCTCGAGTTAGCACCAAGGGTCCAGTGTGCTCCCTGGCCCTCCACTGGAGGCTCCTGCTGAGAGACCACCAGGCCACACTCACCTGGCCAGACGGGTTAGTGGATACGGTTTGGGAAAGAACAGAAGAGGCCAAAAGGGGGATTCTGAGGCGCTGGTCGCGTCTCTTATCTGGGTGCTGGTTACATCCATTTGTTCACTTAGTGAAAATTTTATGGAGCTGCGTGTATACTTACATGTATTTTCTATTAATATGTTATAATTAAGCAAAAAGTTCAAAGAGCTATCAACTGTGGACAGAGCCCTTACCTCCTCGGGCATGGCTCAATACACCCAGTCAACTTCAACCCAACTGGCAGTGTGACAATTTCATGGGCGAGGAGTCTGCCCCTGGGTTCATTGGACGGGCGAGAGAGAGGTGGGACAGCAGTCTGAAGCGATATGGAAGCCAGCACCCTGTGTAAGCCCCATCTGAAAGGCTGGCTTCAGGACATCCCGCTGTGGCTCTCCAATAACAGCCAGGCTCTCGCCTCAGCAAGAAATGGGGCTGTGGGTAGCAGTTGACTGCCCCAGGCAGTAGAGGATGGAAACCAGGGGGATTGGGGCAAATCAGCTTAGTGTGCAGAGGGAGAGCGGGGAGGCCTTGTCTCTGACCCTGGGACTGACCTCCATGCCCTTCCCAGTCCCAGGCTGCCCTGGTGCACCTGCCTGTCACAGCCCGTGGCCCAGTGGACCACACCAGGCTGAGGCTACAGGCTCCCCGGCAGGAAGACATGACTGCTGCTCCCAGGAACCCTCACTCCACCTGGTCAAGGAACACCCAACTAACTTGTCGTCTCTAACTCACCGATCCGCCTCTCTTCCAACAGAGACTTGATTTCCGCAATCTTATCGAGGGCTTTCCGGAGGATGCTGAGGGTGGGAGGAGGGAAAGAAGAGGTCTGGATGAGGCACAAAGCATGGACTTCCTCTTCTGGTCAAGAACGCTGACAAACCTTGTGAAAACTATGAGCCCTACATAGGTGGCTTTAGTCTTAAAAGCATACAAAAGCTGATAAGACAGCCCGACCAGTGTGGCTCAGTGGTTGAGCATCGACCTATGAACCAGGAGATCATGTTCGATTCCCAGTCAGGGCACATGCCCGGGTTGCAGGCTCGATCCCTGGTAGGGGGCATGCAGGAGGCAGTCGATCAATAATTCTTACAATTGATGTTTCTATCTCTCTCTCCCTCTCCCTTCCTCTCTCTCTGAAAATCAATAAGAAAACATTAAAGAATAAAGACTTTGGGTTTAAATTTGGGCTCCCCCACTTACTAGTTGTGTCTTTTGGCAGATTACACAACCCTTTGGTATTTCAGTTTCCTCATGTGTTAAATGGGGGTAATCCCATTTTAGAGTTGCCCTGAGGGTTAAATGAGGTAAATATAGAAAGTGTTGTAACAGCACCTGGCACAGAGTAAGGCCACATAGAGCTGTTACTGTTACTGTTACTACCACCACAATAGAGAATGCACTTCCTAATGTGAGGAATGGTCAAGAGTTTGTAAAACACTAGACTTAGGCACTTCATATGCATTATCTCATTTATGTTGACAATTCTATAGGTAGTTATTATTCCTATTTTAATGATGGAGCAACTGAGTCCCAGCTGAAGTGACTGCCCAAGGTCACGTGACAGGCAAATGGCAGTGCTGGCACCTGACCCCTGCCCTGCTGCTAGGGAGCGGGGAGCAGTTTAGAAGTGGGCTCTAGGGAAGGCAGCCCTAAGGGAGAGGCTCATCCATGCCAGGAAGGCAGCCTGGGCCGTGGTCCATAGGTTCCTGCAGCCCAGCACCTGGGCGAGGCAGGGAGGCGATGGCAGGCAGTGGGCTGGCACTCACTTGCACTCGGCCTCTGCGTCGGCTTTGGCGGTTGTATAGAGGCCCCGCAGCTTTGTCCGGTAATAGGGAGAGACTGCAGAGTAAGCACAGGGAGACAGGAGTGGGCGAGGGGCAGCTGGCAGTCGTGTGGCACTGCTTCCAGTATATCGGAATCAGGCCTTGGGAGGCATGAGCTCCGCTGGCTCAGAGTGCTCCCCGAGGCACCTGCACCCCATGCACAGCACGCTCACATTTCCATACGGTACAAATGCCATGACTGCACCCAAGGGAGGACTTCCTTCCTTTGCCATAGCATGATGCACACAGGAAGTACTTCTCAGCACAGGGAGAGCAGAAAGCAGTCTCAAGCTGCTCAGAGCCAGAAAGCCCAAGGTCAGGAGCCTGGCCAGCTGGGGCCCTCGGTGCACCCTGGGAGGGAAGCTCCCTAGAAGACACCAGCTAACCGGGGTGCTTGTGCCCTTTAAGGTGTTTCCCTAGATGCAGCCTCATTTCACTGACTTTCTAGTCCCTAGAGTTGGGGGATTTTAAGGTTCCTTAGGGCTAGGCAGTCTGGTGTCTGTCTCCTAGGTCACCTTAGGCCCCCAGCGTAAGGGAAGACTGTCCCTCTGGCCTAAGGAGCAGCTCATCTTGGATGATTGCAGAGACACGCAAAAGCTCCTTTTGAAAACGACAGCAATCTTGACCCACATCCACTCCTCATCCCCTTTCTCTCCAGAGCCCAGCTACTCACTCTTGTTCTCTGTCTGCATCCGCTCATGGGTCTTCTGGATGTTCACTAAGTTGTGCTCACTCCTCGAACGCTCTTCCTGCAAAGAGGAGGTCAGCTGGATAGGAGCTAGGCCCCCATCCCGCTGGGGCACCCTGCACCCAGGCCACAGGCCCATCCACATGGCCCTCATTTACTAGATCTGAATTCAGGACCAGTTTAAAGGCCCCCTCCCCCACTAATGCAAAAGCATTACAAAAGGCATTCAAGTGAAATCATAAACTAGATTTACGGCTCTCCATCAGAAAAGACAAACTGACCTATAGAGTCAATACAATCCCTAACAAAATTCCGGCTAACTTCTTTGTAGAGTCTGACAAGCTTATTCTAAAATTCATATAGAAGTTCAAGTAACCTAGAATGGCCAAAACAATCTTGAAAGAGAAAAACAAAAACATTGGAGGACTCACATTTCCTGATTTCCAATTTTATGACAAAGCTACAGCCGTCAAATGCTGTGATGCTGGCATATAGAACACTGGACTGGAATTGAGAGTCCAGAAATTAACACATACATCTCTGATCAGTTCACCTGGGAGAGGGGATGGGGAAGGATGCTGGTACAAGTCTTCCCCACATCAGTGGGCTGGGACCACAGCTGCAACTGGCCAGATGCATGGATGATTCTTAGTCAGAAGCCCAAGTACTCGGCAACATAGAGTCAATGGTGAATGCAGCTATACTGCCCAGAGGTCTAAACAGCCCACTCGTTCTGTACTATAGAACCCCACCCTACTAAATGGGAACGACCAAGGAGGGGTGGGGAGGAGACAGGACACGACACCTGCTAGACTAGCATTGCTGCCTGCGATCTGGACGGGCACAGTGGCTGAACCTAACATCCTTCCGAGGGTGGAACAGTTTGGGTAAAAAGCAAGGACAAATGGAGACAAGGAGAAATAGTAGCTGAGGATAAAAGAGTGGGCTACGCAGTGTTGTAAATTCAATCTTATATTAATGCCTCACGATAGACTCAGAGCATACTATTGGCTCAGTTACGCCAGCTGCCAAAAGGGCGAAGCCATCTATTTGCCAGGAGCACCCCTGCTTTTAGAACCTGATGAAGTCCAACGGGAGCCTGCAATCCTGAGGCCTCCCCCTGAGAGACATTCTGGTTATATAATCTGACGAACTGAAGGGAATTCTAGCAATTCTATTCTTTAGCTTTAAAATTTATGAACTACTTTTAGAGCAGTTTTAGGTTTACAGAAAAATTGAGCAGATAGTAAAGAGTTCCCATATGCTTGCTTTCCCCTGCAGTTTCACCTTATGAACCCCTTGCATTAGTGAGGTACACTTGTTACAGTTAATTAACCAAAACTGATCATTATTAACTAAAGCCCATAGATTACATTAAGATTCACTTCCTGTGTTGTACATTCCATGGGTTTTGACAAATGCATAGGTCATGAACCCACCATTACGGTATCATACAGAATAGCTTCACCTCCCTAAAAATCCCGTGCTCTCCCTACTCACCCCTCCCTCCTCCAAGCCCCATATCTTTTTACTCCCTCATTTTGCCTCTTCCGGAATGGCAGCTGGGAGGAATCATACAGCCTGTGACCTTTCAGACTGGGTTCTTTCACTAGGACTATGTGTGCCAGGATCTTTTGACTTAGTTTTCAGGTTACAGGCACTACAGAGGATACCATTTGGGAAGGAATTTCTAGGCACTCCTCCATCTTGATGCAGTGCCAAGAAAGGAACAAGGGACCCAATAGGCAGTGCAACCTGCTGTGCACAGATACACATCACCCTCACTTTTTGAATGAAAAAGAATAGGGGACAATGGGTTTCACTAGGATTAAAGCACTAGGCACCACATGCTGGGTCCAAATTCCCCTGGGGAACAGCCCCACCCCGAGCCAGGAAGCTTCTGAAAGGCTGTATGATAAACTCAGGCTAAGGTACATCCAGGTGTGACGACCTCACATCTAACCCAACACTTTTGGGCACAAACATGTATCCTAACTGCACCCAGGCCATCAGCCCTGTGGCCACAAAATGCACAGCGGAGTAAGCAACACTGGCCCACGCTAGAAAAGGGTGTGCGCTGTGGGACAAGCTAAATGCACTTTCAGTGAGAAGCAACATTCAGGGGAAAAGATGTGTGAATCTGAAAAAAGACTGAAGTGAGTTCTCTTTCCAGAGGAAGGGAGGGATGACAGTGAGCCTGGAAGGATGACAAAGCTTCAGTGAATGGTTTCGGCCAGCTCCACACACAATGCTGGATGATTCCAGGACCCATCTGTTGCTGGTAAGGGGCTCGCACCCTGACCCACCAGGCCTCCTGACTATTTTAATCCAGATGGAGGCTACCGTAGTCACGGGGCACAGGCTCTCCACACTGCCTGCTGAGCTCTAGGGGCACCACCATGGGATGCTCTGACCTCCATACCTCCTCCGGAAGCCCTCTAGGGCACGTGTAAGTTATATCGATGCACCATGACTATCCCGACCCAAGAATTGATGAAAATAAGGCATATCCCAAAGTACAGCTAGCAGAGCTGGGACCTGTACTCTGAGTAGCACCTGTCCTCCCCTTATGAGGGAGGTGGTCCGTGGGGTAGGAGAGCACACATAGGAAACCAGGCTCAGTACAAGCCTCTGAGCTGAGACGGGGTGACTGGCCTTATCCCCAGAAAGAACAGAATCAGGGCCACTGTGATAAAGCCTGCCCATAGCAATATCTGGTAAACAGGCAGGGCCAATTCCGTTGGGAAGACATAACGAAGAGCCTGTAATTTTACTGACTTGTTCCATAATGAGACCAAGTTTTACGTGACCATACTTCACTGTTGTGTAACACAGGGCATTGCTGGTAACACTTACGTAAATAAGTGTTACGATAACACTGATATTGATGACCAACTGAATTGGGAGACTGAGCCAAAGCCTCAGTGTATTACTCATGGAAAATGAGGGGCCTGAGGAAGAACTAAATTTCGCTGTCAGCTAATTTCTGTGCTAAATATTTCTACAGGAATTTATCATAATACACATGTAGTGGTAGGTGAAGGGGAAAATGCATAATCAAATTAGTTCAACAATAAGTAAATGGATGCATCCTAGCCGGTTTGGCTCAGTGGATAGAGCGTGGGCCTGTGGACTGAAGGGTTCTGGGTTCAAATTTGGTCAAGGGCACATGTCCAGGTTGCGGGCTCCATCCCCAGTAGGAGGCATGCAGGAGGCAGCCGATTAACATTCTCTCTCATCATTGATGTTTCTAGCTCTCTCTCCCTCTCCCTTCCTCTCTGAAATCAATAAAAAAAATATAAGAAAATGGATGCAATGGCTCGAAGTACAGATTAGTTATTTCTCTAAGTTTCTCTCTACCCCCGCAGGCTGCTCCATGCTGCTATGATTGCTGTATCTCTGATATAAATGCTACTAAAAACAGATGCTCAAACATGATTGTTTTGCTGTAGGAGAGGCTAGGCCAAAGGCCAGGGGGTGGTGTATGCAGCAAATCATTAACTCAGCAAGCCTGGGTTTTCAAACCCTGCACATTCCAAAAAAGGTTTGGCCTTTGACCGACTTCTGAGAGAGACCCTCTAAACCAGTGGTTCTCAACCTGTGGGTCGCGACCCCTTTGGGGGTCACCTAAGACCATCGGAAAACACATATATAATTACATATTGTTTTTGTGATTAATCACTATGCTTTAATTATGTTCAATTTGTAACAATAAAATTGGGGGTCACCACAACATGAGGAACTGTATTAAAGGGTCGCGGCATTAGGAAGGTTGAGAACCACTGCTCTAAACCCTTGGACTATCTTGCCTCATAAGAGTATCTTTATTTTCCTGGGTCAGGGTGGAAGGAGAAAGGAATAATGGCTATTGGACATGGGGTAAATGTTCTGAAGTAGGTCATGGTGATGGTTGCATGGCTTGTTGAATAGACTAAAAACAAATGAATTACAGACTTTAAATGGGTGAACTGTAAGGCATGTAAATTAATATCTCACACGATGGATAATCCAACAGGAATGGTAGTCCTGCCCTCCTCTCACCTTCATGACATCATCTTGGGTCCTGCCCTCCAATCTCTCTGAACACAACCCCACCCGCCGCTCCACAGCTCAGCACCACAGCCCACGTTCCCCTGTAGGAATGGAGGGCTGTGGCCTGTTACCTGCGTTTGTTTGATCAGCTGATGGAGCTCGGTGAGAAGTTCTGCGATTCGGGAATCAGCCGACACGAGGGCCATGGTACATATGGTGCCTGGGGCGGAGGGGGAACAGAAGAGAACCTTGTTAGTGTTGTTATGGGTTAAACTACTGCTCCCTCAAAAAGGATATGTTGCCTGGCTGGTGTGGCTCACTGGTTGAGTATTGACCTATGAACCAGGAGACCACAGTTCAATTCCCGGCAAGGGCACATGCCTGAGTTGCAGGCTTGATCCCCAGTGTGGGGTGTGCGGGAGGCAGCCAATCAATGATTCTCTCTCCCTCATCATTGATGTTTCTGTCTCTCTTTCCTTCTCCATCATCGGTGATATTTCTATCTCTCTCTCTCCCTTCCTCTGTGAAATATATATATATATTCTATATAATAAAGGGCTAGTAGCAAATAGACTGAACAGCAGAACAACCGGAACAACCCAACAACTGGTTGCTATGATGTGCACTGACCACCAGGGGGCATGAGCAGAACATGGCAGGTGTTGGCCATGGTGGGATGGTGGAGCAGGTGGGGGGGGGGGCAGCCAGACCAAGGTGGGGTGCCATTTGCTGTCACTGGGGCGAGCCTCTGGTGGTTACTGAAAATTCTTTGCTCCCGCGTGCTGTGATCCCGCCCAGCGCTCACACCTGCTGCTGGCGCTGGCCCCCCTCGCACCCAATGCCAGTGCCCGGCACCGGTCCTGATCACTCGGCACTATCAGTCGGTGTGAGCAGTGGCTTCCGGCCCTGATTGCCCCTGAGGGCTTCTCCACTTCCCCCTGCTCCTGAGGGGCGACTGGGGCAGCAACCTCCCTTGCACCTGCTGCTGGTGCCGGCCCCAATTGCTCCATGCCGTCAGCGTGTGGGAGCAGCAATGGGAGCGGGGCTTCCGGCAGACAGGGGGCTGGGGGCCATGGTGGGAGGGGCCGGGCGGGGATGCGGGGGATGGGCTGAGACCCACCCCTGTGTCTACCACAGCCTCATGGCCCACAATTCCTTTCATGGTGCACGAATTTGTGCACTGGGCCCCTAGTCCTATATAATAAAGATGTAATATGCAAATGGTTGTTACATAACGACCAACCGCGTAATGACCGGATCATGGATTAGCAGGAGGGTGGGGTA